TATGTAGCTAAACTCCGCTGGTTTTCTACCCGGAAGTATTTGTAAACAACAAGGTGATTCCCTCCGAAGGGACACTAACAACTCAAAGTACACATCAAATAAAATTTCTCCAAACACGTTTCTTGTTATTTTAGGTAGTTATTATTACGCTAATGTATGTTCAAGTGTCCATTTCCCCTGATAAGTTGGTTTTAATTCGTGATTTGATTCTATAAACACAGTCTGACCATCTCAAGCTTTTATTTTGGTACTTCCGGTGACCGGCAGTGTGAATTTGCATATTAGCTAAATATTTAGTTTCACCCAGAACATTTAGATTTAACATTTAGATTTAGATTTAGATTTAGATTTAATATTTAGATTTAACATTTATATTTATATTTATATTCAGCATTTAGATTTAACATTTATATTTATATTTATATTTAGCATTTAGATTTAACATTTAGACTTAGATTTAACATTTAGATTTAGATTTAGATTTAATATTTAGATTTAACATTTAGATTTAACATTTAGATTTAATATTTAGATTTAACTATTTAATATATTTCTAAGTTAACAAATATTGCTGTAAATGTGGTAAAAGGTGACGTTAAAAAATTCACAATACTTTTTTAAACATTGTTTGAAGCTAAATGTGGCAAAATGTTGATGGTATTTTCAGCGTGAGACACTTTACAAATGGCACCCCATACCTTGCATGGTTGTCCTCCAACTTCGGTGTGTTCACTAGTTTTAAGTTGTAAGTGGAAACAACATGGATGCTACAAAGAAAGAGTGTTGTATTTTATTGCTCAGAGCGTTTAATGCGTTGAAATAAAAATGTCATTGTTACTGATGTAAACTTGAGCATGATGACTAGTAATGCTTTTCGATAGCCCTCACCCATGAACCAGTAACTAAGCAGCACATTTTTCAGAAACATAATGCAAGATGGCATGAAATATAAGGGGCCTTTCCTTTTAGTCCGGCACTCCACTGACTTAGTGAGCTTTAGCACCACATTTCAAAGTGCTATCCATTAGAGGTGGTGAAATTGAATGTTTTGTGATGTAAATGTTTTGCCTTTATTTTATTTTATGTTGGTTTTGCTGAAAGACAGCTAGCTAACAGTGCTAAAATGCAGAAACATAGTGCCTACTGCCCACCCTTCAGTCTCCACTGTTTAGCTAACGTAAGCTTTGGCTTCTCTGCACTGCACTGCACACCAACCTCAAGTGAGTCGCTTCCTCACTGGGGCAACCTGGGGGGAGAACTAAGGGTGAGCACAGTGTTTCTACAGCGAGGCCAATGAGTCGGGATGGAGTTACTAGCGGTAATCGCGAAATGAGCACTGCCGCTTGCTAGCCCTTACCTGACCCAGCTGGTGTGCAGTGCAAAGCAACCAAGGCTAGCTTACCAGCAGACCATGGAGGGTGGGCAGTTTCCTTATGTTAATGCAGCTAGCTGTCTGTCTGTCTCCCACCAGGCCCAGGTGGTGCGCAGTCCATTATACTGAAGACTAATAAAATTAACCTAAAGATCAACATGTGAAAAAGGTCAAAAATATTCTCTGCATTAAACCAATCAATAGTTAACTGTCGACGTTCCTACTGGTATTGTATTCAAGAAAAGTTTTGTGAGGTGGGCAGCACTAGCTATTGAATGGCATGTGAATGGCGTGTCGAGAGTGTCACAGAGAAGCTGAGACCACATATTGCAAAAGTTTGAGTTTAAAAACTCGACAGGTTGGATACATTTACGTGTATCAACTCGAAGGAACCGATAATGTGAAAAGAATCACTCGGCCCAGAACTACTCTAGGACAAGAGACCTTCAGACAAGTGCGAACGATACTAACAACCTTCTTTGTTTGAATCATACTGAACCCTTAGACATCCAAGTACCTCATCAACAAAGGGGAACGCTTGCACTGAAAGACGTGGTTTACAGTGTTGTGTATACAGTATATGAGATAACCACTTAAAACAGAGTGGATATTATATTGAATATAGAGGACAGTATTAAATGTGTCATGGCCCTCATTCAAACCTGTGAAAGTGTCCGCCAAATGTCCAGCCAATGTCTGAATGTCTCTGTGTTTTAATCACTTCATGCACATGTGGTCTCAACCTGAAGAACCTAAATGCTAAAAACTCTCATTAAAAAGTCTCTATTAACGTCCTCCTGTGGACCAGTCAGCAGACTCAGAATAAAAGGAAGGTTGGGCCGCTTGTGCTCCTTAAGTCAAATCCCTGAGCAAAGTCATTGAACATTCAGAACCCATTGGCCAAAGCTTAGGCACAAGAAAACAGGAACTGGGAAACAGGAAACCACTCTGTCCTCCTCTCTGTGAGCCCCCACTCTCTCAGGTGACCAAAAGAGAAGGATGATGGGAGTTGCAGTTTCAATGTCAATAAGGAGCCTGGTGGAGAAGCCTTCAAAAGGCTTCGAGTAAAGGATTCATAGCAAGGGGTCAGTGCCGGGGCCGGTAAGAACTGTAGTATCTGGGGTAAAGGGGCGAGTAGTTGGAGGAGTGGCTGTAGGAGGCGGAGGTACCAGAGGTCAGGTAGGAGCTAGATGGGGTAAAAGCAGAAGAGGAACTGTAGTAGGCAGAGGAATAGTTGTGGGAGAGAGAAGGGGAGTGGGAGGAAGAGTAAGGGGAGGATGAGGAAGGAGTGTAGAGGACAGAGGAGCGTGACAAGCTAGACAAGGGCCGAGTTCGGGGTGAGGGGCTCCATGTGGAGCGTCTGAGCCCCAAAATAGGAGAGCGGTAGGGAGAGGAGGGGGCAGATCCTGGTTGGGTGGGCCTGGTGGTGGTGGTGGTGGTTGTGGTGGATGGGGGAGAGGTATGAGTGTCGGGGGTGCAGTGCCTGGAGAGGCCCGAGCTACGGGGAAGAGCGGGGGAGATGTTGACACTGAAACTGTGGGAGTCAACCACAAACGTCCGCACCCCCAGGGTCCACTGGGTCACAGGGGTTGTGGGTGGGGTCCGCGCCATGGGAGAGGAGGGGGCCTCCAGACATGGGGGGCTCTCTGGCGCCGGAGGGCAAGCCAATGAGGCTGGTGATGACGGACTGCGAGGGGGTATGTGTGACGTAGGGGAGGTGAGAGCTGAAGCCAGAGCTGCAGCAGCTGCACTAACCAAAGATGGGCTAAGGGGCACAGTGGGATCATCAGAAAGAACTGACGAAAGACTAGGAAGGCCAGAAAGAGGGAGGCTGACAGGGGCCAAAGCTGAAGTGGAGCCTTGGGCTAGGTTGGAGGCCGAAGCTGAGGCCGGCTGACTTACTTTGGGGGTGCTGGTCTTCGCGCGGTTTAGCCTGCCCCCGTGGGTACGGTGGGTCTGCTCTTGATCGAAGGCCAAATCTTCCAGGCGCTGGGTGAGGGCCAGCTTCTGCTGGATGGCCATACGCAGGAGGGAGTTCAGAGTCTTCTTCTCATCTTCGGCCGCAGCCAGCTGCCTCTGCATCTCATCCAGCTGGGTCACATACTCGTCACACCTGAGGAGAGCCAGGTTAAGCAAGGTCAAAAAAAAAATCACGACAAGCAAGGTTAAAAAATTAAAATGAAGTGAAAAATTCACTTAAGCCCCTTTTCCAGTGGACAAAAAACCTGGCATCTGGCTTTTGTCTTTATTGGCAAGGGTTACAATCAGCATTCATTCCCGGGACAAATGACTGCAGTAGTCATGGGTATTTATGGGCGCTCAGCTTGGATGGGCTCCAATTGGCATTAATGGAAATGTGACGCCCATGTGGATGCGCTAATCTTTGCCCATTTTCTGAAGAGGCGCAATGTCGTGCCATCACAAAGTGCACAGCCATTGAATATCATTCAAAATTAGTTTGCACCTAGTTTGAAAAAGGAACTGAATAAATAACAGGTATAAACAAAAATATCTGCCTTGCAGTTGTATGCCTTTGCGATCCACTCAAGTTGCACTTACACTTTACATCTATGTCTGTGAAAACATGGATGGTTCACACACATATTCCCCCGGCAGCATAGAAGATCTATACAATCAGCACAGATTCAAGGTGGACACCCAAGATTAGTGTCACAAATTCAGTATCTGACCAAATGTCTCTCCTTCTGTTCCTGAGTTCTGACGTTGCATATTAGCCAGAAAAGTGTTTTTGCAGAACATTATGATGTCACAGTGATGTTGACCTTTGACCTTTTGGATAATAAATGTCATAACTTCATCTTTATATCCTGTTAGACATTTGTGTAAAATTCTGTCATAATCAGTATATGAATTCTTGAGTTATAGCCAAAAACATGTTTGTAATGTCACAGTGACCTTTGACCTTTGACCACTGAAATCTAATTGGTTTATCATTGAGTTTGTGCTAAATTTAAAGAAATACCTCCGAGGCATTCTTGAGATTTCACATTGACGAAAATGGGACAGACAGACGTACATAGGTACAGATGGATGGACGGATGGACAGACAACCCGAAAACATAATCCCATGGCTATCACCGGCGTGGCGGTATAGAAAGAAGTAACCACCGTAACATTTTCACTGGGCTCCATGCTGCTTCCTACGGTTAACCAATACTGATTTCTGGAGCATTTGTCACATCCAACATGACATACAGTGATGTAAGAAAGCTACGATGGGCCCCAGTGCACACTATTATGATGGGCCCTGTCGTGCATGTATTGTCTTGACACAAATAGAGACTTGACATGAGACAACATCAAAATACATATTACCCGGCAATCACATCACATGTGATTCAGCATATCTGACAAATATATCAAAGAAAGTAAGAAATGAATCATTTAATTGAATAGTTTCATAGTATATTTATAGATTTAATACTTATATAGAAGCATAGCATATTTCATATAATTTTGTTTTATATAGCTACTAAAAAGAAAACCATGACCTACATGAGTTTGCCTTTTTAAGGACATAGCGAGGACGTAGCAAATGACACTCTTTTTAAATTAATAATATTATTTTTTATCATTTATTTTTGAACACAGGTATATGTCCAAGGTGGAAATCTGAATCACTTGCAAGGGCCCACTCTCTTTACGGACCCCACCACCCCAGGGGTCCCAGTGTAATTGCACTGCCTGCACTGTCTATACTTAGGCCCCTGGCGACATACTGGGACAAGAAAACAACAGAAAAGCAAACTGGTCTATATCCTCATCTATACATTGTCTGTAGACCAGAGCCCTGTACACGACCCTGGTCTACTGGCAGTTCGGAAAGGAGTTACTATTACTACTAGTTTTAGTGTGTATTTCCATGTTAAAAAAATAATAATATTAACTAACTAATATTGGTGGAAAAAGGGTATCATTTGCTCACTAGTTGGATGAGAAGATTGATACTATTCTAAGAATAGTAAAGAAAAGTGGTATTGATCTTTCTTTCTTCTCATCTGAAAAATCTTTTCTTAAAGTGTTAACCTATTCCTTTAAAGGTTTAGTGTGTAGGATTTAGGGGCATGTATTGGCAGAAATAGAATAGAATATTCATAACTATGTTTGCATTAGTGCATAATAACTAGAAACTAAGAATTTTTGTTTCATTCACTTAGAATGAGCTGTTTATAATTTCTTCATGCTTCTGTTTCATCTCTGACCTGGTGGCAAACATGGCCCGCACAGAGGAGAAAGTGGCTGCATCTTCCTTCAGGGCCTTCAGCTCGTTCCTCAGCTTCATCATGGTGTCAGTGACCATGGCCTTTTCCGCCTCATACTTACTCTTCAGGTTAGCCAGAGCCCCCTCTGCCGTCTGGGTGAACACACAAAAACATACATACACAGATCATAAATTAAGTTTTTCTTTGTTTTCAATTTCACTTTCCTAACCTCAGTGTTTACTACCCACTATCACATTTAACCATATGAAGACTACACTGTGTGAATCTACCGCTATAAAAAACCAAGATCTCAATTCTTGCTTGAATGTGCCACACCCAAATGACAATGCATAGTGCAGTAAGTGCTCACTACAACAGCTCCTCAAGTGAGTCTTTAGTTGTCTGCACAGGAAGTGACTCATAAAAGGTGTACAAGCTGAATCATTGTGGCAGTGTCATTGTCATTTTCTAAAGAATACTTTGCACTCTCTTTAAACCCAATCTGGTACATGTGTCAGAGTATTTCCAATGGTGGAAATTTCTCAGCTCATAATAGTAGCAGTAGCCTCTGCATTGTATCACTGATGCACCGTTCCTAGGGGAGAAGTCATATAAAACAGGCAATTTAATATAAACTTACAGCCATGGGGGAAAGGTTTGGGACAGCAAAGTGGGTCCTTTAATCAACCATATTGGTTGATGTGTTTCAGGAGAGGGTAGGCCTGTAAACAGACTATAAACTGCTGGACTCATTTCCTAAAGGCATTGTAAAACCCAGCACTCTGTGGCTATTTCGGTATTATGAGCATTTTGTTGATTTCTACTCTATCTGGTGGCAAAATATTAATGAGCTAGATATGAATGATATAGTTTTTTTAAACTAATAAAGAGTATCTGGGAAGCAATTGTCCAAATTCTTGCTTTTGGTGGTTGATGCATAGGAAAAAGAACAAGTGACTTCACTGCTGTTGGTCATACAACCTTTGTTTAGTGAGAATTGGTTTAGGTAGGAATCTTGGTCCTATGACCAACATACAGTACAGGCCAAAAGTTTGGACACACCTTCTCATTCAATGCGTTTTCTTTATTTTCATGACTATTTACATTGTAGATTCTCACTGAAGGCATCAAAACTATGAATGAACACATGTGGAGTTATGTACTTAACAAAAAAAGGTGAAATAACTGAAAACATGTTTTATATTCTAGTTTCTTCAAAATAGCCACCCTTTGCTCTGATTAATGCTTTGCACACTCTTGGCATTCTCTCCATGAGCTTCAAGAGGTAGTCACCTGAAATGGTTTTCCAACAGTCTTGAAGGAGTTCCCAGAGGTGTTTAGCACTTGTTGGCCCCTTTGCCTTCACTCTGCGGTCCAGCTCACCCCAAACCATCTCGATTGGGTTCAGGTCCGGTGACTGTGGAGGCCAGGTCATCTGCCGCAGCACTCCATCACTCTCCTTCTTGGTCAAATAGCCCTTACACAGCCTGGAGGTGTGTTTGGGGTCATTGTCCTGTTGAAAAATAAATGATCGTCCAACTAAACGCAAACCGGATGGGATGGCATGTCGCTGCAGGATGCTGTGGTAGCCATGCTGGTTCAGTGTGCCTTCAATTTTGAATAAATCCCCAACAGTGTCACCAGCAAAACACCCCCACACCATCACACCTCCTCCTCCATGCTTCACAGTGGGAACCAGGCATGTGGAATCCATCCATTCACCTTTTCTGCGTCTCACAAAGACACAGCGGTTGGAACCAAAGATCTCAAATTTGGACTCATCAGACCAAAGCACAGATTTCCACTGGTCTAATGTCCATTCCTTGTGTTTCTTGGCCCAAACAAATCTCTTCTGCTTGTTGCCTCTCCTTAGCAGTGGTTTCCTAGCAGCTATTTGACCATGAAGGCCTGATTGGCGCAGTCTCCTCTTAACAGTTGTTCTAGAGATGGGTCTGCTGCTAGAACTCTGTGTGGCATTCATCTGGTCTCTGATCTGAGCTGCTGTTAACTTGCCATTTCTGAGGCTGGTGACTCGGATGAACTTATCCTCAGAAGCAGAGGTGACTCTTGGTCTTCCTTTCCTGGGTCGGTCCTCATGTGTGCCAGTTTCGTTGTAGCGCTTGATGGTTTTTGCGACTCCACTTGGGGACACATTTAAAGTTTTTGCAATTTTCCGGACTGACTGACCTTCATTTCTTAAAGTAATGATGGCCACTCGTTTTTCTTTAGTTAGCTGATTGGTTCTTCCCATAATATGAATTTTAACAGTTGTCCAATAGGGCTGTCGGCTGTGTATTAACCTGACTTCTGCACAACACAACTGATGGTCCCAACCCCATTGATAAAGCAAGAAATTCCACTAATTAACCCTGATAAGGCACACCTGTGAAGTGAAAACCATTTCAGGTGACTACCTCTTGAAGCTCATGGAGAAAATGCCAAGAGTGTGCAAAGCAATAATCAGAGCAAAGGGTGGCTATTTTGAAGAAACTAGAATATAAAACATGTTTTCAGTTATTTCACCTTTTTTTGTTAAGTACATAACTCCACATGTGTTCATTCATAGTTTTGATGCCTTCAGTGAGAATCTACAATGTAAATAGTCATGAAAATAAAGAAAACGCATTGAATGAGAAGGTGTGTCCAAACTTTTGGCCTGTACTGTATAATAAAGTCAGCTGCAAGGAAAGACCATGTTTGTTCATTTTCTCATGGGAAATGCAGACGAAACTCACTACCAATCAACCACCATCTCGTGTTCTTATCTCTTACAGACTCTGAACCAAGTAAGGCTGAAAAATAAAGCCAACTTGAGGCTGGCTCTAAAATACCCAACTTTACAGTGGCAATAAACATTTTACAGCCTGGTACAAAAAGCACTTTTGGTTTCTAAAGCGAATTTCTCCATTCATGACAACTGTGCAGGGGGTGATTTTTTTGTATAACCCACTTGTTTAAATGTTAGTAAGGCTTAAAGTTATGCATGATTAAGGGCATGGCTGCTTTGAGAAAGACTGGTTGCCATCCGTTGTCAAGTCGCTACCGCAGCAACAACCCCAGATTAAAACAGTATAGGCATGGCTTTCGCTACTTCTGTGTGTTTTCAGTACACGAAAGTTAATGGTAATGGTTTGGTCACCTAAAAAAGTCTTGTTCAGTGTTTACATGAGGCTCTAAGGAGCCGCGTATTCAGTTTTTTCTCTATGTCCATTTGTTTTAATGGTTTTAGGCCTGTTATTTGCGAGTGAACATTAGCATTATCATAGTTAACCATAGGTGTAAATGCACCATGCTAACCAATCTAGCAGCTAACATTAGTGTCAGCTCCACCTTCTCATTCAAACATGGTCACTTTTGGCCAAACTTGAGGCTTCAAAGCAGGAGTCCACAAACCAATGGGTGACATCACTGTGGCTACATCTTACATCTTACATCATACATTTTCTTAAGAGACTTCACTGAATGATATCTATTGACATAATTTGTTTATAGTTGGGTATCACATTACAAAAGTGTTCATGTTATAAGTAAAGCATTACAAAAGTAATGTGTTGCTCATGACATGGACACCTCACATGTCTCACCTGTTTATTAGCCTTGAGCACCAGTCTAAGGGTGGCTATCTGCTCTCTCTTGGTGCTGAGCAGAGACTTGAGCTTCAGGATCTCCTCCATGCAGCCTTCTTTGTCCTTGTCCAGCAGAGGGGCCAGTTCCCTGGCTGCAGCTCTCTGTCTAGACAGCTGCAGAGACCTGTCTACTGCCCGCTGGAGGTGCTTCACCTTGGGGAGGAGAGGAGAGAAGCAGAGGTAGGAGATGAGGACAAGAGTAGCCAAGAAAAGAGGAAGGAGAAAAGGCATTGCACTGACACTAATAATAAAATACTGTCCTACCTGGTCTCTGATGATAGCGTTGAGGTTGTAGATATTCATGGGCTCCCTGCGCAGCTCACCAGCTGGCTCCAGGGCAGGAGATGATGATGATGATGATGATGAAGAGGCACTGATGCTGGGTGAGCGGGTCGGAGGCGTGCAGGGCGGCAGGCTCTGCTCGGAGGGCACTTGGAGGCCCTCCTTGTCCCCCTCCTTCTCCTCTCTTCTCTCCTCCCCAGATAGGGGCTCCTTGGATGGAGACTGTGAGGGGCTCCGTGACTCCGAAGGAGTTAAGGTTGTCGAAGCGACAGTGGCCAGCCGCCTGGCGAGGCGTGGTGTGAGGAGAACTTTGCTGTTGTCCGCAGACATGGCTTTAAGACTGGCACTGAGGCCTCGAAGCCCTCTGCCTTGTCTGGAAGAAAGACAAAGTGGATTAGATTTTGTAACCTATAGAACCTTTATTATATTGGTGGATATCTGCAGCATATATTTACCAACTCAGGAGTTTGAGCCTACCTCTTTCTGCTCAAATACAGTCATCTCTACTCATTCCACCACAGCAGCAACCAGATGGAAATGCACTAACTTTGTATTCTAAAAATGAAATAAATGATGGCTCCCAAGGCAAACTGGACCCAGATAAGGAACCAGGCTACAGCCAGACTAAGAATTTTGCCATATGGATGACCAAGGCAACTTCTCAGCTATGCCTTGCTAGTGTGGTAGAACTTGCTGATACAAGTGGTGGATGATGCTGTCAAGCCTCAGAGGAAGGCCTTTTAGGCATAGCTATCAGTCTCTGAAGGCCCTAAATGCAGCTTTTGTACTAGTGTAAGCAAAAACTTACATGTAGAAAAAGTTCAAGATGCCAAGACTTTCAACAGTGCTCATGAGAGGGGAGGCGAGAATTTTTTTAAGCAGATGAGGCTACCTGGTGACTCTGAATGAGGATATAATTGGGAAATGGAAGGAACACTCCTGAGTCCAACTGATGCATCCTTCATTGAGAAGGCTGAGAGAGAGGGTTTGGGGAAAACCCTCTCTGCAAAGACAATAGCAAGCTAGACAATTGTAAGCTTTGTGACAACAAGGAGCTAGGGGTGAAGGAGTTGAGATCTGGTGTGTAAGCTCCAAATATATAGGCCACATCCACACTAATACGTTTTCATTTTAAAACAGCATTTTTAAACAAAAAACAATGTCCTTACACACGAGAGTTTCAGCACAGTTACAAGATTAATCTCGGTCCATACTAACACGCCTGAAAATTCATATCACATGACCATTCATGTGCACTGGGCATGCACATGCCCATGTAAACAGGAAGCAGAGTGACTATGCTGTGGTTGGTTGATTGGTAACGGAAAATACAATGGAGATAAAGAAAAGTAAGACCAGAGATTTCTTTGCTTGGATTGACGAAGAGGTGGAGCTGTTGCTGAAAGTAACACATGAGTATACGGCAGTCAAGGTAGCAGGAAAATGGATTGGGAGTTCTTGCAAAGTAAATATGGCGACATATCAGAACAGTACCGAATGCATCATCCATGGCTGGAGAGGATCCATGGCAATGGGAAATGAGTTACCCCATGAGAAGGATGAAATCACAAATATGGTATGTAGATCTAGCCATAACGTTTTGGCTTGACATACTGTGACTGATAAGACCCAATCAAGTGGCAAATTTGTGTCATCCTGACTTAAAATAAAGGTTCCTGGAAAAGCTGACCATTCCTAATTTTTTGGTTATGATAAAAATAAAGAATTAAAGATTATTTAATTCTTTATTTTTATCATAACCAAAAATAAAGAATTAAAGATTATTTCTCAAGTGGCCCTTCCTCTAATGCAGACTCCACAAACTTTGCCTCAATCTCTATAACTTTGAGAGACCTTTCTCTACCATTTGATGCTGCCTGTATCCTACTAATAAAACAACAGTCAAACCTGTAGTAGTCCAGCATGACACGGTTGGGTGTCTCATTGTTGCACAGGCAGACGTGGTGGTAGAGCTGGGCAAGCTCCTCGCTCAGTGTCACCAACTCATCCTGAGCTGCGGTCAACGCACCCTGGCTCTCGTTGGCTGCTAACTGAGCAGCCTGCAACTCCAACTCCAGGCTGGAAATCTGAGAGAAGATGAGATAAAATCCTTTATCTCTGTAACTATTTCTCTTTCTATTCAGACACAGTCAGTACGATAGTGAAGTTACCTTCTCCCGTCCCTCCCGGCAGCTCTTCTCCAGTGAGGCCACCTGTCTCTCCACTTTCTGGAGCTGACCACCTCGCCTTGGCCTCTCCTCCACTGCTCCCTCTACACACTGAGCCAGTCTGTCACGGAGGACTTTCACCTCCGCTTTGAGCTCCACCACCTCTGTCACAGCCACACGGTACTTACATTGCAGGATCTCCAGACCTGGCGTCTGGTATGAAAATACCTGACTTTTGTTCATTGTCTCACTTTTATCCTCATCAGTATCTCCTTCATCTTCAGCCTCATAGTCATCCTTGTACAGCTCCATCACAGCCTCAGCATTGAGCTGAGAAGTGGCACTGACATTGACTTCCTGGTTGAGGCGGGCCCTTCGATGCAGGCGGCGGAGGGTGGTGACTCTCCGGCTAAGGCGGAGGACTTTTTCATGCTGCTCGTTCAAGGCCCCTTGGGTGTGCTGGAGCTGCGTCTGAGACTCCTGCAGACTGGTCATTAGTGAGACCTTCTCACGTTCAACCTGAAGAGGGCAGCAGCAAGATTAGGGAGAGGTACAGCATTGATGGTATGAGCCCACAAATTTTCAGAACTTTTGTACAGGCTCATATCATTTAACACATGAAATTTAGAGTTAGTCTGAAATTGGCATCCACTGGGGTCCATATCACGTTCTGCAGCTTTGTCTTCAATTATTGTACTGTCATTTGAATATTCTAAAAACTGCTTTTGGTAAAGGCAGGGTTCAGATAACAGAGAGTGTGCACCAACTCCCCATTAACTTTCCCCAATCCATTCATCACAGTAACCAAAAGGAGAAATCTGGACTATATCAAATCTCTGCTAATGCAGCCCAGTTGAAAGAAAATGTTGGCATTATACATTTCTACAAACCACAAATACGTGGCATTTGTATGTTTCATACACATCATATCAACATTTGACATAGTATTTGAGCTGAAGCGAGAGGTGGAGGGGATAATGAAATATGTGACAGCTGCAGACCACTGTTTGAGACTGACAAACAACAAAAATACACATATCAAAATAAGAAAAAACATGTTTGTGTATTGTTCTACCTCAGGTAGGGGTATCTGAAAAACAAAAGCTCTTCTGAGGATTTGTACCTGCATTAACTGTGAACTTGATGTCATTTTAAGGTATGTGTACATGTTTCTCTTCTCAAACCTAACCAGAGCAACTTTGAGATACCATATGAATTGAACTATGAGAATATGTTGATCACATTTGTCCCTCCATCCGCCCATGACCCTAATTTCTCACCTCATCCATTGGCCTTCATTGCTCATTCTTCATCCTCACTCTTCGTCCCTGAACCCTCATCTATTCATCCCTCACTCTTCATCCTTTTATCCCTTCATCCCTCAATGCTTATCAATGCATCCTTCACCATTCTTCCCTTAACCCTCATCCAAGTATCTCTCTACCCTTATTCCTTTATCCCTCACCCTCACTTTTCATCCCCTTAGTCCTTCATCCCTTGTTCCTCAACCCCTCAGTAGTACTGGTAGAAGCATTTTTGTAATTACTCCGAGTCCATAATTTGAGCACCTTCAGACAGTTACATACACATACTTCAGAATTGTGTCAAGAAACACAGCTTCCTCATTCTTCTCAGAGAGACCTCTGTGTTTGGCACAGCGCTGGCAAGGGAGTTGAATGTGGCTCGATCACATCTCTTACCATCTTTACAAACAGAGCACCTCCACAACCAGACCTAACTACCTAACATACACTAAACCATCAAAAACTGTCCCAGGTCTTTTAAATAGGGTTTTTCCCTCATTAAAGTAGATACTTCAGGTTCCATTGGGTATAATAAAACAATACTGTAGCACAAAAGTGGATTCATTAACATTTTAAAAGAGCGGCCTTGACAGCAGCAGGAGCAGAGATGAAACCCACCCCTCCACCGGAGAGTGGTCGATAGTGTAGTGTGTCAGCTGAGATATAAATAAACTCTTCCTGTAGCTCGACCTATCAGCAAAGCAGCAGGAGACAGGAATGGATGGGATTACACCGACAGGAACTGAAGCAGATGCACACACACATGGATGTGTGTATACACACATTTTACAGCTTTGTGGTGATCTGATCATGATCTGATGCAAGTAATTGGTTCTATGCTTTGAAGAATGCGCTGAGAGTTTGGAAACATATGAGAGAAAGGTTTTAGGAGCGAAAACAAGACTGAATGTGTGACTGTGTTTGTGTGAGGAGGAGACAAAGGGATAAAGTGAGAGACAGAGAGCTTTACGCCATGGGAATACTGTATGTCAGCAGGGTTTTACAGTAAATGATTCAGAAGCCCTGGTTTTTTAAAGAGGAGCCTGCTGCAGGATTATGAATCCAGCAGACACAGAAAATGAATAACTGTGAGATGTTTTTACATCAATACCAAAATTGACACAAATTAACCACTGGTACAATTGAAGAAGAACAGAGGAAAATGTTGGCACTGTACATAACGGCAAACCGCAGATTTGTTACATCCATACGTTTTCATACATATCATATCTAAAGTGATGTAGTATATGACCTGACTTTGTCACCAGGAAGCGGAGGGAATGGTGGACTGTTTTAAGGACTCATCACTGTTTTTCCACTGTAATAGTGCCACACAAGCAATTGTTTTTTTACTGAGATATTGCTGCATTTCCTGCAGGGACTGTGCCCCCACAACAGGGTATTTTAAGCCAAAACATATTGTTTTTCTAGTCATAACCAATGGGTTTTTATGCCTAAACCTAGCCCCATGTTACCACTGTGTTGTTGAAATGTTTAAGTTTAAAGGTATCTGCTACCTAATAACATACAAATGTAAGGTATCCATGGTTTGCAGAAATATACATTTTTTTTTTTTTTGGGGCTGTGAACACTAAGATTAATCTCATGTCTGTGAGTTAAACCAACATCCTGCAAAATTTACCTAAATTCACCTAAAAAACACCTATCCAAGGCTTACCTAAGGTTGACTGAAAACTGTTCTTGTTCCATTTTTAGTATACGTACATGCATGGTCTCATTTGAAAGGTAACACTGAGCTGGCAACAGTCACTTAAAATACAGTACAGTCACTTACAATCACTGTAAGTGCTTCTGTCATAGAGTTGTACAAGTTTCAATGCACTGAAATAAATGGATTTTTTTATCTTCACCTGAATATTTTCTGAATAAAGATGCTTCAGATGACTAGAACTAGGAGGTATTTGGTGGGAAACACGATGGGGCATATCAAAAAGCCTCACATAGTCCAAATTCAAATTTGATAACAATATCACAGATAATGAACCTTCACATATGTTTTTCTAAGGTTTTGTCCGGGCAGGCCCTTGTAAGGTTTTATTTGATGATTTGTTGTCAGAAGAGTACCTCTTAGAGATACATGTTAATCAGTGAGCTTCATTGAAAGTAGACAGAATTTCTGGGGTGTGAACAGGCCCCCTGCTTACAGTCATGTCTCTCTAAAACCAAGCATTGCATGTCCCAGAAAATTCTTCAGCTAAATGGAAAAAAAAATCAGCGATAATTGTATTTGGTCCTCCACACTCCATCCCCACTATAGAGAAGTGCCTCAGGCCCCTTGTCAGCAAATATCAAACTGGCAGCTAGAAACCTGGGTGGAGTCTTTGACAGTGACCTCTAATTTGACAAACAAGTCACAAGAATAATGAAATCACGTTTCCTCCATCTTAGGAGCATCTCCTAAATCAGCTCTTTCTTCTCTCATGCAAATCTCAAAAAGGTTATATATGCTCTTATATCATAACATCTTGACTATTCAATGATGACCAGTCACCACTTGACTTTTTTCAATTGAGGCATCGATAAACATTGGGTGACGTCTTGCCTTTGTGTTCTGAAAACTGTTCTTTTCTATATATTGAGTCAGGTCAGCACAGAATCAGAATCAAACTCTGTAGATGGGCGATGGAAACTGTGGCTTTGGTGATAAGAAAAAACCCTTTTTGTTCTGGGTATATGTTGAACACACTGTTGTTTAATTCACATTTAGCTTAGTCCAATTGTCAGAAATGTTACAGACTCAAACCATGCAATAGGTACCAGCACTTTGCAAGGACAATTTAGAAAATGCCAATTTAACATTCTTCAAAAACAAAACAGCATTAGCTAAATTGAAGGCAAATTTCTTTCTAAAAGAACTGCCAGGGGCGGTTGGTGGATGAGAAACAGCCCAATGGCTGTCCTTAATGGCTGAAACAAGTAGGCATGTTTTTAACTGCTACTATGACTGAATAGCCATGAGATAATAAAGGCTTTTAAATTATGATCCTCTTCCCTCTAAAATAGTTGGATCCCCAAACTGAAGTGCACCAGAGGGACACCTTTTTCACACCCAAGCAGCACTCTATGCATACTATTTTGTGACTTCATAGTTTTGTTGCTCCCTTATGAGCCACAGCACAGCCTCAGATCTTCGGGAAGGCCCAGCTCAAAACTAAAGGTGACTGGGCTTTTGCAGTTAGGCCCCTCTGCTCTGAAACTCCTTGTCTAAAGACCTGAGACTTGCAGAATTAACTTTTAAATCACTTTTTAAAACTCAATACTCAGTAATCAGTGCATCATCAGTGTGTTGTTTGCTCCATCTAACACTTTCATACTGTGCCCGTGCTCCCAAATCCCTAATGCTGGCTCTCTCCAAGTAAATACTTGGGTGATAAGGCAGTAGACTCACCGTCATCAGCTGCTGCTTGAGCTTCTGGATTTCTGTCATGTTCATCTCGTTGAAAAGGTCCGCTGTTGCTGCCCCTTCAGCTTTCCGGCCCGGCCCTCGGCACTCTCCGTTAGCTCTGGGCACCGACCCTGCAGCTGTCCCTGCTCCTGTCCCACCCTGGAGGTGGCCGTTACACCTTACAGAAAAGAGTAGAGTAGAGCGTCTTTAAAATCCAGGAGACTTACTTTGCTTCCTAAATGTCAAGTATGGAAAATTAGAATGGTTTATAGCCAGTGCAGCAGACTACAAAGAGTACAAGTCTGCAGGCCAACATGTGATAGAATTATATCTTTATCAAAGATCTTTTCATACTGTCAATAAATGTGCAGACTCAAACCGATAGTGAATGTATCCAATAACAAGTAATGTGTGTATCAAAGCCTGATATATCTTCTCCCTCTGTGCCACAGAGCTCCACTGCTGTCCAAGAACTAATAAAAAACACATGAGTGAGACACACTGTTGCACAGGGTGACATGTTTCTTCACTACTATGAACACACACTGTAGTTTATTGCAATCCCACATGCACTGTCCTGCTGCCACAAATACTCACTAATTTTGTGGATTAATCCACTGCTGAAAATAGTCCCCAGCAAATGACACAGCTGTGTCACAGTCCCCAGCTGTTTTTGGAAATTACTGAGCCTGATTACTGATTACTTTTTTTTAAATGAAACTGTATATTTTTGAGCTGATTGTGAAGAGAGAGCCACAGACATGTTTGCTGTTAGCAATGGCAAAAATACAGAATATTACCAGCCTTGTCCCTTTGGGAGGAGACAAAATTAGATTAAATATTTGAGGCTAAGAATGACTTTTAAGGCCTAAAATATAAAACTTTTTAAGACTTTTTAAGGACCTGCAGATATCCTTGTGGGTGCATTTATGCCAAACCATCCATCAGGCCATACATCCTATGACATTTTTGGAGAAACAAAAGAATACTCTTGTAACTACAAACATGTAAACATTACATTCTCTTTCCACATATGTTTTGTGTGTATGTAATATCTACCTCATTGGCTCATCTGTCTGTGGAGAAAGCAGAGTTGTGGGGGTGGCGGTGCCGCTGGGTGGGGCGGAGGTGAATGTCAGGTGGGCACTGCCTGTGTAGGCCACATCACACATGCTGAGGTGGTGGACCAGCTCCCTGCGCAGGTGGTTCTTCTGTTCACGCTCGCTCTTCAGCGACTCAAGCGCCTCCTCCAGCTGGGTGTCTGAGATGTCCTTCAAACGCAGCGCGTCCTGTAACTGGCTGTTGAGGAGCTCTGTCTCCTCCTCCAGGACCTTAATCTCATGCTTCAGGCCTTCATACTCCACCTAAACCAGGGGTGGAGCAACATTAATTAATTGGGAAGAAAATGGGAAGAAATCAGAAGATTGTCAATGTAGTGTGTCACAAATCTGATGGAAATTCTTAATCTACATTTAAAGCTTGAAGTCACTATGTGGGTAGTAAGCGTGCCCTGTTGAGATTTCTTGTCAGTAAACAAAGTCGTGTTTACATCCTTGAGGCCTGTCATGTGTGCTGAATGTACATCCTATCTCATGAAACATTTGCAAAGCAGAATTTTAAATACTTTTAATTGGGTGTAGTTTGCATCCACAAATATTAACTTGCAGTCTTCTTTTTCTTAGCTCCTGATGATGCATTACTGCAGTATATTTCTTTGCAGATCACAGCCACAAACTGTTGATCAGCAGCATAGCTTGAAACCAACATAGGAGTGTGTATCATGTCCTGCATGATACAAACAGAATAGTGACCCATTCACAAAGACATTTCTCCATAGAGCAGAGACTGTAAACACTGTCAGAGATAGTCAGCATTTATGGGAACACCTACACATCCTTAAACATCGAGGGGGAAAACAAAGCAATCTCTACCGTACCAAAGAGTTGCTTTATGGCTTTCTGTACATCAAATAAGCTTAAAAATCCAGCGTTAAAGTATATTTTTCTACCTGGACCCTATTTTTCCATGCTTTAGTGTCTATGTGACTATAGGGAAAATATTTATTTTGAAATTGGTCCAGTATTGAATGAGAGCAGCGGACAACGTAAGCATACAATGTAAACCAGGCATGTTCGCACTTCGCACTGCCAATTCATGTTTATGTTTATGTTTATTTTATTTAAGAAGGGACAGTACACATTAATTAACATGACCACTTAAGTCACGTAAATGTGCAAGATTTAGCCATACAGGCTAATTTTCATCTGCAGTCCCTGGCAGGTTGATGGTATATACATATATATATGAACAGGCATTAAAATAACATACAGAAGTACAAAATTTATATCCACTAAAAGTGCTTGGTTTTGTCAGTGACAGGTTCTAATTGTCAACATAAGTGGAAAGGATCCTACAGAGATAGACTTTTTTGTTAGAGTGAAATCCTTTTTGTTTTACCAAAATCACTATTTTCAAACCCACCAGTCTCCATTTAAATAAACTGTAATTTTAACATAATAAAAAATAATAAAAATAAAACTCTGACAAACTGTTGTGGGTCATCTTGTCAATGTTCCAGCAATCACCAACTCTGGTTTGACTGAAAAAAACCTTAATTCACCCAGTTAGATGTGAAAATGTACTGTCTCTATTCATACTAAAATTACTGTTTATTTAAATGGAGTCTGGTGTGTTTGCGGTGGTAATTTCAGGACTGTTTCTGATAAAACAAAAAACATTATGCTTTATCAAAAAAGTATTAGACTATAAAAGTTGTGAGCCTCCAAAGAACTGTGTGGTTCTTGACAGTGTCAGTCCCTGCATTATGACATTATAGCGCATTGTCAATACATAGGCTAATGACATGTTGTGATGTTAGCACTTCTTAACTGTTTCAAAAAACGATTGGAATTAAGGTAAGTCTAATCATTTATATCTGTAGTAAATGTAATAGTGTCTCTTACGGGAGTTAAAAAAAACACACTTTCCCTGCATTACAGGCTGGGGGAAAGGGCTGATTTCCCCCTCACCAACTCCGCCCTCACCACCTCCTCTTGCTATGACTATAATGGACCTGCATTTGGTAAATGGACCTGCATTTCTGTGGCACCTTTCTAGTCATCTGACCACTCAAAGCGCTTTTACACTACGAGTCACATTCACCCATTCACACACACACATTCATACACTGGTGGCCGAGGCTACGATACAAGGTGCCACCTGCTACTCAGTTTTTAAACACGCTCACACACCGGTGGAACAGCCATCGGGAGCAATTTGGTATCTTGCTCAAGGATACTTCGACATGCAGACTGGAGTAGCCGGGGACTGAACAACTGATCTTCCGATTGGTGGATGACCCGCTCTACCTCCAATCACATATTAACACTTTAAAAATTCTGCAAAACATTTACATACATAGTGGCACATAGAGGCTTAAAACATGTCCCCAGATTCCCCCTGTTTAAAATGTAGATGAGAGGAGAAAGATCTTGTGGGGGAAACACTAAAACCTATATGATATTGTTAGAATGAAAAAGTCCATGTTAAAAAAAACTTTGTCTTTGTTGAGTAACTTGTTTTTTTCTGATTTAGTCTCTATTGCATGGCCATGATATCTTTGTGTACCTGATTCTGTTTGAGAGTCGACACCAGTTTCTGAAGTGAGATGTTCTCCTCCTCCAGCTCGGTGTAGTCCTGGAGCAGCCGTGTCTCTCGAAACTTGTACTCTCTGACCTCCTCTCGCATCCGGCTTCGCTGCAGCTCCAACATCTCGTTACTCTGCTGAGACAGTTCAAGTAAACAGAGCTGAAGCTGCATGCTGTTTATGACGGAGATAACCCAAGAAAATTATGGGAATCAGACTGAAAGTGGCTGGGATTAAGTTTAATTTCTGGGACATAAGATACTTTCATAGAAAGCCATATGGTCACCTAAAACTGAGTACCTCTTGTCAAGCAAGAATGTATGATATCCTAACACTGAACGCTTTACTGTACCTCCCTCAGCTCCTGCAGCAGTGTGCTCAGATGTTCACTGTCAGCCTGAGCACTGGAGGCGGTGGCCCGGCTGTGCTTCAGTGCTGACTGGAGCTCCAGTAGGCGGCCCATGTAGTAGGCCTCTTTGGAAGCAGACTCCTGCAGCAGCGTTTCCTCGTTGGTCTCCCCATCTTCTGCCACCTTACGCTGGATGGAGTAGGCCTGGCCAAATGCCTGGAACATGGCAGGAGAGAAAAGGATGTGTCATTTAAACATGAGATGGGTTGTTTATCATTTCTATTATTATTAGGGATGCATGGTATTATCATCATGTCATCGGAATCAGCCGATATCGCCTTTCAAATAAAATATCCGCATTGGCCAAAGTAGTAACAGAACAACATATCTGAAAGTAGGCCTATGTATGAAGAATATAAATGACAGAAATTAAAGACGGATAAACAGACAGAAAATAAATGTGTGTAACCATTTCACAGTAGGAGTGTGCCATATCATCTTATTCACAATAATACTGGTATAATTTTTAATATGATAAGAAAATTCATATCATGATACTCGTGATACATTGGCTTGTTGACATATGGACGTCATACTGTTATACACTGCAACAACAAGCATGGCTGAAGGCAAAATTATTACAGACTCCACAGTGGTTCCAAAAAGAGGAGCAGCTTCAGTACAGTGGAATAAACTGTGGTGTCATGAATGTTTTATGAACAGCCCCAGACTCTCACACTCTTTTAGTGACATACCGCTCAGAAGGAACTCATTCAGCAGGTCCTCTGGTAGCAGCGCAGTATCTCTCCCTCCCCACTCTCGCTGTATGCACACGGGAGTCAGTGTCATCAAATGATTTGGTCATAAAACTTGGTAATGTAAAACTACATGACTCATGGCTCAACAAAAAATATAAATATGTGAATGTATGAGAGATCATTTTGTTTATTTTTTACTGAATATTTGAGGGCAAACTGTTACGCTGACAGGTAATACTACATCACTTATTTTGTTGCAATTCTATGTTCTTAATTCATAATAAAACATTTTTTTACTCATTTGTTATATAGTCAATAATTTCATTATTGCAAAAATACCCTGAAATATTGTGATATTATTTTAGGGGCATATCGTCCACCCCTATTTCACTGTCGGCTCGCACTGCGTTAATATCCACCTGAGCAACAAAGCAGAAAAAATGGCATGCATAAAGAACAATAAAAGGGCCATTAACCAAAGATAACATGTCTTAAGTGCTTATGATGTAGTTACTATTTTTTTGGTGCAAAAAGACAATATAACATGAAATGCCTATATCCTTGTGTGAAGATAATAGTCACTTTCACCATAAAGTAAAGTTCCATTGATTGTCACACACCTGAGTGTGTGAAATCTGTTCTCCGCATTTGACCCATCCCCTGAGGGAGCGGTGAGCAGCGGCGGTGCCGTGCTCAGGAATCATGTGGTGATCTAACCCCCAATTCCAACCCCTGATGCTGAGTGCCAAGCAGGGAGGACACCCTGACACCCAAACGTTTGAAATTTCAGTGTATTACTTACTAAAGAATAAAGAACGACACTGCACTGTCCTGACCACGGTAAATCCAGAGGCCGTTGCCTAATGGGCAGGAGTCTGAATATAGGGACCTGATAAAAACCTTCAGTGACTGGAGTCACAAGAACTGTCTCCTCCTCAAAACACCTCAAAAACCAAGGAAATTATCATAGATTTCTGCAGGTCCAAGCCCCCTCTTCAGCCAGTGAATACCTGTGGGGTGGACATCGAGGTGGTGCCAAGCTATAAGTATCTAGGTGCACCTGGATAATAAGTTGGACTGGTCCCTAAACATAGACGCTCTCTACAAAAAGGGGCAGAGCTGCTTTTTCTTGAGGAAGCTCAGATCTCTTGACATCTGTAGTAAGATTCTGCAGATGTTTTATCAGTCTGTGGTGGCAAGTGTATTGTTTTATGCTGAAGTCTGCTGGGGAGGAAGCATCAGACACAAAGATGCAAGGCGGCTGGGCAAACTAGTCAAAAGATCTGGCTCTGTGTTTGGAGTCAGGTTGGACACACTGGAGGAGGTGGTGGAGAGATGCACACTGAAGATGTTCGAGGCCATCATGAACAACCCAGATCATCCACTCCACAACACCTTGATGGACCAAAAAAAAAACTGGTGGGTGGCTCCTCTCTCTTCAATGCAGGACAGAGAGATACAGAAGATTCTATATACCAACAGCCATCAGGCTTCATAACTCTTTGACATATAATAGATGAGCTGACAGATAATTGAATTTCCCCTTGGGGATGAATAAAGTTATTAACAAGGTCCTTTACAGAAAAAAAAAACAGTTTTAAGTTCAAAGGCCAATGCTAAAATAACCTACAATGTCCAATAATGACTCCTGCATTGCTGTGTTGTCCTCTTCTGATGTAGAGTTTCCATTCTGGATCCACAGACCGACGTAAACCCAACTGCCTAGCTAGCTAATGGCTAGCAAGCTAAAGTCCACACTAGTTAAAGGTGCTAATGTAGGTACTGTAGCATATTTTCCGTGTTTTAGTTGTGTTAGCTGCTTTACTGCACCTCACAGAAACTCAACACAGTGGCATAGAAACCCCACCACCAACAAATGTTTTGGTGAGGTGTAACTGCAGAGCGACGCAGCTGCACTACCACACAAGTATAAATGCTCATATCAGCGTAGCTACTAGTGTAGACTACAATGTAGGCTCTGTGTCGAGCCTGTGAACAGCAATAAAACAGCCTTTACGTGCCACCACCATACAAGTATAAATGCTCACATTGGCGTAGCCACTAGTGTAGACTACAACATAGGCTCTGTATAGAGCCTGTGCACAACTCTATATCAACCTTTGCTTGCCACCACCACACAATGCAGTGTTTGTGGTCACCTCATGTATTTCAGTCAGACCAGGCTGTGTTAGTGACAGCTGAAGATGCAGCTCTATAGGAGTGACAAGAGAAAGCCAGTGAAGCTGAGGTCCAACATGAAAGGAGTGGTGAGTCAGCGTTAGTGGCCTCATGATCGCCGAGCTGCTCCACACAAGCAGACCATCCTCTGCTCCACTGAACACCGAGGGGAGAAATGTATTGAACTAAAAATCAATAAGAGGGCCCACGCTAGGCTGAGCTTAGAGTGTAGAGAGAAGGAGGGAAAGAGTAGGTGGGAAAGTCTCTCTCTCTCTGCTTTAAACTCCTCGTCTTATGTATCGGCTCGGAGAAAAGTCCAGTCAATGAGTGATTTTGCTTATAGGCATGACTCCAGGAATCACTATGCATGGGCAAAAATGGACCATGCTTTTCCCCACGGGAGCAGAGTGTAAGTACAGTTTACCACAGTCAGCTGGGACCTGGACACCCAGGACTGTTCTCTGTCCCTGTGCTCACTGAGCCAGTGATGCATGCACACATGTTGGGCGGTATTTAGTTAAGAGATTAATGAGCCTCCACTGAAACCTTTTACGCCCACAAACATAATGAAGTCTCCTACAAATTATGTTCATATGCAACTCAGTCTGTTTTAGGCCAAAGTTCAGGAAGACGTCTGATAGGTTTGAAGGTGAATGGGTGTGTAACCATGTGCTGGTGACACTCATTAGTCGTGTTTGTTTCTGACATCTCTTTTTAAAAATCATAACCTGACATCTTTCCCCTATGTTGCTATGCGCAGATATTATGTGAAAAGCTGACTGAAAAACACTGGCAGTGAAAGTCTGAAGTATAATGTCAGTAGTTGTTAGTACTTTGTTCTCTGCATGTTCATTTGATGAAGAGAAACAAAAAAAAGCGTAAACGGTCCACTAATCAATGGAGATTAGAGTCTCTCATAAGTGGGCCCATCCTTCACCATTCCCGTCATTTGACGGTTAATGGCCTCTTCGTTTGCGAGGGCAAGGAGGACGCGCAGTGCCTTGTCTCCCCAGTTGCTCATCTTTACAGTGTCTTTCAGATTTGCGTTCCCTCTTGCCACTAGCTGCTCATTCCTGCTATCAGCTGTTTCCTGTTTATCCAGCGCCAGTGGGTCACACATGCGGCGTCATCAACAGCCAATCCGGCTCTGTGTGTCTAAATGCTCACAACTTGCCGGCTAAACAGCCCAACATACGCTGAAAATCTGGCAGTGTAAAAGGGGCTATAGTTAACCACAGCTGTAAATGCACCGTGCTAACCAAATTAGCAGCTAGCATTAGGGTTAGCTCCAGCCTCTCATTCAAATACGGTAATGCCTGGCTCCAAAAATCCAAGATGGCGATGGTCAAAATGCAAATTTTGAGGCTTCAAATCGTAAGTACACAAACCAATGGGTGACATCACATTTTATAGACTCAGCATAGACTTTATATAGTCTATGCCGCCAATATATGACTGCTGTTTACAGCTCATTTTGCTGCCCTCAAGTTGCCCAAAAAATGAATGCAGGTTTAAAGCCCCTATGTGGTGGATTTAAACAGACTTGTCTGCCCCAGTTAGTAGTATCAGACAAGACACTTTGGCAGACAGCAGGTCACTACTACCACCTACAGATCTGATGTGTGGACACAGATGAATAAGCTGATCACACTATATAGCCCATAACTTATTTTAACTACCATTGTCTAAATGTCCTACAAACAAAACCATATGCCATCAAAATAACTTGAAAGATGTTATAATTGCATAAAAACTATCCACATAGTGACTTTAAGTATGTGAATATGAATACTGTTAGCTGAACAAAGCGCATAGATTTTTGTGTTCAAAAATGTGTCGCCTCAAAAGTGATGCAAAGATGAGCTGCAGTTTCAAACATTACAAGAAGCAGGATAATATTACATTGCCATTAAATATTTTTCATTTCTCACGGCTATGATTGTAAAAAGATCCATGAAGGCACCATAAGCATCCAACTGGAAACATTTTATCCCACAGCAGGCAATGAAGCAGTAGTGCAACATAACAGGGACAAATATTGATTTGCCCATGAACTCCCTCTGTAACATTCCACAGCTAATACACTGGAGAGGAGTCGGTAGATATGTATGACCTGTGCAGTGCAGCCATCTGTTCATGGCCATGGCTCTGCCATACAAGCCATTACTTTGACACAGCACACAGCACAACAATACATATGGCACCATAACAACATCCATTCAATACACACAAAAATAACCTCAGGCTGCAACATGCCATCAGAGTGAAATACGACTGACA